TTACTGGGATGTATAGTTCACCTACAATCAAAGAGCATTCTGAACTCCACCAATGATGGAATTGAACCAAATATGGCACACAGAACTCCCACTACGAACAGAAAATATATATCAGTGATTGGTTGGTGGCGGGGGGCGGCGCCAAAATACTGTTTGCTTACCATTGAAAATTACCTAGGGCTGTATATATATTAGCTGTACCCACCACAAATTGCTGTGGCCAAACTTCCCTCCCTCTTTCTCTCCTTTCTTTCTCTCCTTCCTTCACTCCCTCTTTCCTTCCTTCCAGGCCCGTAGCCAGGATTTCGTTTTGGGGGGGGGGGTGAATTTTTTTTCAGGGGGGTTTCGGGGGGGCTGAGTTTCGGGGGGGGGGCTGAGCTGAGTGAAAGAGGGTCTAGCCTAGCAAACCTTTTGTATCATTACCCCAATACCCCCATGGATATGGGATATATTGAGTATGGTGATCAGATCATGATATGAATAAACATAACAGTTTAAATAATGCACCAGTAAGGCCTTTTTGCGAACCACCATGAGAATTTCAGGGGGGGGGGGCTGAAGCCCCTCAAGCCCCCCCCCCCCTGCCTCTTCCTTCCTTTTTTCTTTCTTTCTCTCTTTCCTTCCTTCTCTACTTTTCTTTCCTTCCCCTCCTTCTTTTCCCTCCTCTTTCTCTCCTTCCTTCCTTCCTTCCTTCCTTCCTTCCTTCCTTCCTTCCTTCCTCTCCTTCCTTCCTTCCTTCCTTCCTTCCTTCCTTTCTTATTATTGGACTGCAACTCCCAACAGTCCTCCTGATTGATCTATCTACCAACTTATCTATTTCTATTCTATCTGAACAATTTGGGAGTTGCAGTTCAGGAATAGGAAATTGGAATAGTATTTCTTGGTGCTTCTTTCTCTAGTTTGCCTACTCAGGAACATGCAACACGTGCATTTGGAGCACCCTCCTCCCCTAAAGGGCCTGGTCTAGGGGATGCTGGGAGCTGTTGTTTTTGCGCATGCTCTATATCGTCATTTAGCTTTTGGGGTTTTTTAAGTCCTTTCCACTGTTTTTTGGGAGGGGTTTATGAGTGATGGTCACTTTGTGGTCTGTTAGGGGTGTAGTGTCCAAATTTGGTGTCAATTCATCCAGTGGTTTTTGAGTTATGTTATCCCACAAACGATTATTACATTTTTTTATATATATATATATATATATATATATATATATATATATATATTTACTTCATTTGTTGACCGCCGCTCTCAGCCCTGGGGCGACTCGCGGCGGTGTACAACATATAAAAACAGTCTACAAAAACATACAATGAATCGACACCCAAATTACACATTAATCTAAACACAATAATAAATCCGCGCCATCAACATAGAGAACATAGCCAATCTCATAATCCAAGGTCCATTCCAGATGTCATTACCAAATTCGTGTGGGTCTCAATTGAATGCCTTCCCGAATAGCCAGGTCTTTAGGCTCTTACGGAAGGCCATAAGGGATATAATATAATATATATATTAGCAGTCACCTGCCAGGCGTTGCTGTGGCCCAGTCTGGTGATCTGGAAAATAAACTACTGAGAAAGTGTTGGTTTCTAATATATGCAATTTCTTTCCGCTTGTAGGGAAACAGTATTTCTTGTTGTTTCTTTGTCAGTGTTGATGTAGAGATTGTCTGGTTTGCCTACTCTGGAACATGCAACATAGAATTGTCCTTCTTTAGGGTCCCTTTCAAAACTACGATACTATATCTGTGTGTGTCTGTGTGTATCATATATATCTATCTATATCTATGCCTGGATGGCTCTTTGTCAGGAGAGCTTTGATTACGTTTTCTTGCCCTGGTGAAGGGAGCTGGACTGGATGTCCTCAAGTATTTTCTGTTGGTCATGGGGGTTCTGTGTGGGAAGTTTGCCCCAATTCTGTCATTGATAGGGTTCAGAATGCTCTTTGATTGTAGGTGAACTATAAATTCCAGTAACTAAAACTTCCAAATGTCAGGGTCTGTTTTCCCCAAGCTCCATCTGTGTTCATATTTGGGCATATGGAGTATTCGTGCCAAGTTTGGTTTCATTATTTGAGTCCACAGTGCTCTCTGGATGTAGGTGAATTACAACTCCAAAATTCAAGGTCAATGCCCATCAAACTCTTCTAGTGTTTTCTGTTGGTCATGGGAGTCCTGTGTACCAAGTTTGGTTGAATTCCATCGTTAGTGGAGTTCAGAATGCTCTTTGATTGTAGGTGAGCTATAAATCCTAGCAACTACAACTCTCAAATGATAAAATCAATTTTTTAGTCACTCCTTGGGTTAGTAGGTGTCTTGTGGCCAAATTTGGTGGCAATTTGTCTAGCGGATTTTGAGTTAAGATGTCACTCAAAGCAAACAGAACATTTTTATATATATAGATTATAAGACCGGTGGCGAGGGGGATGACAACAACAATACTTACCAGCTAGAGTACTCCAGTGGCCCATTTTGCTGCAAAGTTTCTTCCGAGATCTTCTCCTTGACCGTGGGAGACTCGGCCCTTTCATCATCCTCTGCTTTGGGCTGACCTTCTCCATGTTGTGCCGTCAGCCCCATTGGGCAGCAAAGTGATGGCTGATCCTGGGAGAAGTGCAGGTCTTTCACGGGGACGTCAAAGGCTCTGGAAAGAGTTTGACAGCACATTCACAGCACTGGTATATAATTTATTTAATATAGTAGCCTGTTCTTTATTATTCATGCTGTCCTTCTTCTAAGCCCCCTCCTGGAAAAAACTCTTATGTAAGTGCAACAGTGAAGCATTGCAACAGCGCGGCAGATGTTTGGAGATTAATACAAACTTGATGCTCTTGGAGAATATTAATCATTAGATAAATGGCTTGCGATTACAGAGCTAGCCCCAACGATTTGCATATCATAATAATTGCTTAACATTTGGATGGTGTTTGAAAGGTTTGTAAGAGGGCACACAGGTTGCCTCCTTCAGGACCTCATCACATCCAATCCCCCATTTCTAAACACTTCCAAAACAGTTCCTAGATGAAGCAACATGAAGCCCATCAAACGACATAGACGTTTCTCAACCTGGGGATCATGAGGGGGTTTCAGAGGGGTCACCAAAGACCATCAGAAAACCTTTGACAGAGAAGGCTGAAGATCTCTCCACCTGTCCTTCTCTTCCTCCATGGAACCAGATAACAAATCCTCCCACCAATAGCCCTCCTCCGCTGTGATTGGCTGGCCTCACAGCCAAGGGGAGGACTCTTTCTGAGATTCCAAGTGGGGAGGGGAGAGCAGGCATGCTCAGCTCATAGCAACATGGTGCGCATGTGCAGGTGAGGAAGAGCATGCGAGGCTGGAGTAAGACTTGTGCCAATGAGTCCCTTGAAGACATGGGGGTTCTGTGTGGGATGTTTGGCCCAATTCTGTCGTTGATGGCATTCAGAATGCTCTTTGATTGTAGGTAAACTCTAATCCCAGTAACAACAACTCTCAAATGTTCACATTTTGGGCATATTAAGTATTTGTGCCAAATATCCTTGTGTGAGTTCACAGTGCTCTCTGGATATAGGTGAACTACAACTTCAAAACACAAGGTCACTGCCTACCAAACCCTTCCAGTATTTTCTTTTGGTCATAACTTATCCACGTGTATATACAACCAATCTGAGACAGGAATATATTGTCATAATGTCTAGGACAGCGTTTCTCAACCTGAGGATTGGGGGGGGGGGGG